TTAGCATATTTAGAGCATTTTGGAATTAGAATTAGTCACTGCTGGCGAGCAAGATGGGCAGTTGAGATAGAAAATGATTGGCAAATCTGAAAACCATGGCAAATGAGGAACAAATGAAAGAACTGGGAATGATTAACTTGACTAAAAGAAGATGAAAGAAAGACCTGGTTATTCTCTTTAGATATTTAAATAGCTGTCAAATAGAAAGTAGTTAGATTTGTTCAATGTCACCCCAGAGGAAATTAAGGGCAATAATTAAAAAGTAGATTTTAGCTCAACTAAAGAAAGACTATATATATATATAGACCAGATCAACCATAGTGGGGAAAGAGTGGATTGCCTATCTTTGAAGTTACAAAAACAAAATGGCATAATCAGGCTGCTAGGATTCCTTCCAAGGTAGAGTTTCTAATTCCTACACAGTAAATGCAAATGCCCCTGGAATCATGGGTGTGAATTGCACTAGGGAATGGGTGATGCCAGCTTCTTTCCTAGGCCTGGGCTTTCCCGGGTGGCAGAGCGCAGGAGACAGAATGATGGAGCCAAGTCTCCAAAAGGCCAAGGAAGACTGGTACTGCTAAAGATAAATTTTTGTGGCACCATTTTGCCTACTGCCTCTCTTAGTCATCGAAAGTAGCTAAAAACAAAGAGGGTAACTTAAAAAATATAGTTGGAATTTGAGGAAAATGCACATCTTGAATGTTAATATTCCAAAGAGCTGCAATCACACATCTGTTTTCTTGTTTGGTTTACAATTGAGGGAATGGGAACAGAGGACCCCATGAAATTGAATGACACTTCACATTGATAAGCATTTCAAAACAATATGGTAGCAATTTCAGGAACACATTATACTCTCAAGCTGCATAAAGAAAGAGCAAATAATATGCCCTTTAATGTTTAACTTTAATAATGATCTTACTTGTTACAAATACAGCATTTCACACTGAAAGTCCAACTGTGTTTCAGTCCAGTAATATAAGACACCATTTATAAAAATGATAATTGAGTTTAACTATGTTCTTGTTTTATTTTCCATTTATCATGTGAATTGCTTCTAAATAAGATTGTCTTACTTCACTAATTTGCATAATTACTGAATTATAGCATGGCAATCCAAATAAAAACTTCTGATAATATCATTTCAGATTCACTGTGACATTGTTTTGAAAGTGAGAAAAATTGATATACAATTAAGTTAAGAGTAAAAGTATATAAGCTAATTAGGTTGCCTTTGAGTCTTCAAAATATAAAGGGGTTATTTGGGTCAGAACAATGAATGGATTTTTATGCTCAGATGCTGAACAGCTTGAAAACCAAAGAACAACTGGTTAGTTCTATAACATTTTAGAAGAACAATAAGTCTGGTTTTGACAGAGGAGGAGCCAGGTGGAGTCTTGTTTTGTTTTGTTTTTTAATTGAATGAAGATCCTTGATGAGAGAGGAGAGAGGTCTTTTATGAAGATCTAAAAATACCTGTACAGATGTATTTCGATTTTTCAAATAGCACCGGATCAAATTAGCTTGACAGTCTCTGGTCCCAGTCAGAAAATCCTGATGCCTTGTTTGAGTTCAGAGCTTCAGCAAGTGCAAACATTTCACTCAGCTCAATCTTCAAATAGGTGGGCGAGATAGAAAATGTGGATATGGATACAAAGCTACAAACTGCTATTTAGTTATCGGACTTTGTTCAAAGAGCCAAGCAGCAAATGTCCCTCTTTGGAAAGGAGGCTGCTGAAAGAGAACAAGGCTCACCGACAAAATAAATCCCAGGGTCTGTCTTGGGCGAGCAGATAAACAAGGGCCCGACTGATTAAGTGTCTTTCCTGACATCGTGGAGACAACGGCAGAACAATCGCAGAGACAAAAACTACACCTCTCTCTCCTGCCTCCCTTGTCCTCTTATTAATCATCTTGGACTGAAAGCTCGGTAGCAGCAGCCCTGCCTAAAATATTGCTTGTTTCCCTAAGATGACACCCTGGAAACTGAGAAGCGCTGTGTTATCACCCAGCCGTCCTTTCCTTTCAGTCGTGATTTGAATAAATCTGTGACTTTCACAAGAAAGGAATGTCATGGCTGAGGGATGAAACATACAAGATAAGTTTTGTATTTCCCATAGAATCGTGGCAGAATCTTATTTTTTTTTTTCCTGGTACTTAACCAAGTGACATGGATTTTCTGAGAAGAGCTCAGTGCTGTTTCACACACTCTGGCCCCACTCTCTACCAGATGAAGATTCTTATTTGTCTGTTGCTGGGTCCAAAGACATCCCCCACAGCTGCAGGGAATCCTGTTGCCCGGGTAAAAGAATAGGACATATTTCATGGGAGCTATTAGTATGGGCTGTTAGTCTGTTGTGAGGCAGAAGGCCAACAGCTGGATGCAAATGGCAGGTTCTGGGCCAGCTGAAACTCTCTGCTTTTTAAGTTTTGCATGTTTGCACACACACATAAACACATGCACACATGCAAGCACACACAACTAGCTTGGGAATGTTAAACAGCTCCAGATTTATTTTTTAATCTAAACTAAAATGTTTAATGTGGCCTAAAGGTTTGGCAGAACCAGGCAAGCCTGCTCCTTCTTACCACAGGCTGGAGGCATCTGGCCCAGGCCTAAAAGCTGCTGGCACTCAGTGGGGATGAAGGGCTTGGGAGGACATGCCTGCTCTTCAGCTGGGTGATGGAGAAAGGAAACAACTTAGGCCATCACAGCATCTGAGTGGTTATCTATTCAAGCTCAGAATTTTTTAGAAAAAGAAACTGCAGCCTAAAGCACATAGTGAATCAAGGACAAAACCTGGATCAGAATCTATATGTCCTAATCAGGGCCAGATTAAGGTCATCATAGAGTCTAATAAACTCTAAAATGATTGTAGTGACAGCCACATATGTCATTCAAAATAAATCAGTAAGCCAAGACTAATGAGGTGCTGTGATGTTTTAATTTTTCCCATGAGGATTAATCAGGAATTTCTTTGGGGAACTATCTTCTATCAAATGCCTCCAGAAATATTTTCTCCTGTCATGAGATTGCTCTACCTTGCTGGTACTCAGAGCCTGCTCTTCTGCTTATTGGGAATCCAGCTCTTCTCTTACCCTTGGCCTGAGCATGTCCATGCCACTCTCATCGTCCTCGTCCATCACCCTTGAGTCATGGACCACCTGGGCTGGCAGGTCCCCTCTTCTAGCCTGCATCCATGGAGTTCTCATCCTTGCCTTGAAAGCTTCAGTGAGGACAACACATTATCTTCCAGAATACTCAGTTTCATTTCTGGATAATGGCTTTGATTACTAGAAAATTCTTTCCTTTGTTAATTTTAAATCTGTCTTGCTACTTAATAACATTGGCCCTTGAAATTCATGTACAGAACTTTACATTCATCTATTAAATTTTATTTATTATAAAACCACAAAGATAGTTGTAAATTTTACCATTTACTGTTCACCCCAACTTTGATTCAATCACCAATATTATAACTGACCAAAAGTCATCAAATGTAATGTAATAAGATAGATAGTAAATATTTTAGGCTTTGAGGTCATACTGTCTCTGTAGCAACAACTCAGTTCTGCCCTTATAATATAAAAGCAGCCAGATACAATATGTAAAAGGGGCAGGGGTATTGGCTGTGTTCCAATAAAACTTTGTTTATAATAATATAATAGACAACAGAAAAGATTTGGAAAACAGACCTCAGTTGACTGACCTCTTATATATTCAATTCCACTATAAATATTGTTCTCATTGAGAGAGATAGAAGCAAAATAAGAACTAATGGATTTTGCTTTCCCACTGTCAACTATCAACATTTTATCCTTTACTATCACCTATTTTGCCTCTTCACTCCTTCACTTTCCACGTTTCCTCATTTCTCTTCACAGTTCTTTTGATTTCTATCTAGTTAGTACATCATTTGTTCTCAGTACTAACACTTATTCCCTATGGAACACAGTTCTGTTCATCATCAGATGAATGATGTTAATCTGAATGGTAAAAAAAAAAAGACTCTATACATACCAATATCTTTCTTTTGCCTTTTAGCTGAACAAGATACCACTTGCCTCCTTTTCTATATTTGCAAAGACTTACCCAGAGTCCTGTTCTTTATATGGCCATACCACCTTCCTTGTGGCCTTTGTAGATTATCAGAGCCATTTTCATGGCACTGACCTGAATAGGAGCCATGTATTTGGTACAAATGTCACAATGAGCTCTGTTAACAGATGATGCTCGATGGCTCTGTCCTGCTTCTTCATGTCTAGTGTCTTATGAGTAGAGGTATTAATGGTCTTTTGTTTGGACTATTTTTGCAAGGATGTTTTTGTCTGATAATGTCTTCCTTGAGGCAAAGTTTGGGCAGGGTAGGTTTCTTGGGCTATGCTAGCAACAAATATAACCTACAGGTGTCAGTTAGCTCTTGTTGCGTCACACTGTGGAAACTGGACTTTGGGAAGTGAGATACATGCTAATACTTTGGCTACTGCTATTGGTATAAGCAATAAACTGTTCTTTGTCTCTGACCCAAGGGTCTTGTGTTTTCTACTAGCCTCTATGAAATTGAGGCAGGCTAAGTTGGTAGCTTGCAAACATGGTAGAATCTCAGGATCTGAACTGTTCTTGACATACTACATCTCCCTGAGAAGGAAGAAATATGGGAAGTGAGATGGACTAGAAATTAATGTACGATATAGCAGAGCAGAGTTATGCAAGGTTACTTAAAAGACAGTGGCTATTCTCAAGCTGTAACTCTACCCTTTCCAATAGTACAAGAACATAAGTGGTAAGAGTGGTATTACAGGAATAACTTTGAACTTTCTCCACTTTAAAAAAATGTAAATTTTTTCCAAAAGGCAATACTATAATTACTACTACCTTAGTAACAATTTACTTGCAATATACTTTTCAACCAGGTCACCTCTCCATGGTCAAGAAAAGTTGACATAGAATATATTTGGCCTACCACAGGTAGTTTTATTTTACTTTATTTTTTTCTTTCTTAACCTGTTTTAAACTTTATTCCCAAGCTTCTTCAGCTTAATTAGCTGCAAAAAAATTATTTATGTATAAGCAAAAACTGAAAAGAGCTGCAATGTCCAGGGGCATTGGGCTAAAAAATATTAGAGATCTAGATTTTATCAGATTCATAAACAAAATTTGAAAAAGCAGTCATAATATAAAATAGCAGCTCCCAGAAACTTCTTCAAGTTTATCTTCTTCAGAAGTTGACTTAATTCAGTTTGCTTCATTCTTGGAAGCCTCATCAAAATTCTCCACAAGATCTGGAACTTCATCATCATCATCATCCTCTCCAGTAGCAAGTGGTGCTTTTCCATCCACAGATTGTTTGGGCAGAGCTTCAGCCAGTCTCCTTAAACTAGTCAGACTGTCTGCACCAAGCTGGTTTAAGATGCTGGGTAGCATTTCTGTCAGCTGCTTTGTCTCAGCATGGCCGGTAATGGTGAAAGTGTTCGCTGCCAGAGATGCCTGAACTTTAGGGTTGTTAAAGTGGATCACTGTTCCTTGGTTTGTAAACATATTTACTTCTTCAATACCAGAGATATTGTTTACCCCCAACTTTTTTAAGGAGAACTGAAGTTTTTTATCATGTGCTGTAGCTGTTCTGTGAACCTTCTTCTTTCTACGAGCAGTTCCTTTCCCACCAATGCATACTTGTGCCTGCAGTTTGGCGAGTTTCTCTTGGTTCACAATAGTTTCTTTCATCTTGTTGGAGAGGAAACGGGGCTGTGCTGGGGACTAGGGCTGACGCTCAGGGGGTCTAGGGCAGGCCAGCTGAGAATCCACAAGTAGTTTTAAAGGCACAACAACAACAGAGAGAATTCTGTGTGTTTTAAGATATATATATCTTAAGCAACAGTCCAACTGTTATGGCCTCATCTCCACAGACAGGCAGAGGGACCCAACAGGTGCACAAATCTGTGCACTGGGCCTCTAGTAGGATATAAACATGTTCAGGCAGTCTGCTCCCTCCCCTTCTTCTGTTCTGTCAATAGATAGTGAACTACTCGCTGGGTGAAAATCATCTATGTTTAGCATAAGGATAGAAGGTGTTGGGGTGGGAGGGGTAATGATGAGAAAAACTCAAGGAGTTCATGATTAGAGAACTAAAATGCACATAATATTATTAGGAAGTGAAATAAACCCAAAGTGATGTTAATTTGACTTGAATTAGTTCATGTGTGCAAACAGGAGGAAGGGTTGCTGGGGTCTGAGGAGAGATTTTGTCATGAGATGAAGGCAGGTGAGAGTCACCTGGAGTTAAAGGGCAAAGGTTCTAGAGGAGCTGAGTTTTGAAGCAGCAACATTTTTGATTGTTCGCAAAGATGAAAATGAAAGTTAGGAAGCACACATTCATGGAGAAAGATAACTAAGTTGAGAATAAGTTGACCTGGGCCTAAGTCCAGTTCTGTGAGTAACTAGTCATCTTTCAGCCCATCTCAGCCTCTAATTATCTTTAACAAAGGAAGTGAATTAGATGATCTTTTCAAAAACACTCTGTAATTGTCTTTCAGAAGTAAGAAGCAAATTAATTTGACAATCCAGAGTGTTAATATTAAGTTATAATAAAAATTATATTGAAAAGATGGGCTGAGCAGTTAGCAGAAGGTGAAGACACTATTACTGAATTTAAGGACCAATTGGGAGACACTACTGGGCCTTGAACAAGGATGACAAGATTAAAATATCTGTGGGATGCAATCGAAGAAATTACCCAAGAGGGCTTTCAGAATAACTATAGTTAATCTTAGACTTTTACTTCAAAAGACTTGTAAAAGTTACATTTTCATCTACTCAAATGAGAGTGATAATTAAAATATCAATTAAATTGTTTCTCCTATTCTTTGCCTGCACAGTACAATAGAAGTGTTTGAGACACAAAATTATTGAGAGATGGAATTGATGACTCTACGGTTTAGGGTGATTTTTATTTTTTTAATATATTTTATTGATTTTGTACAGAGAGGAAGGGAGAGAGATAGCAAGTCAGAAACATCGATGAGAAAAAGTCATTGATCAGCTGCCTCTTGCACACCTCCCACTGGGGACGTGCCTGCAACCAAGGTACATGCCCTTGATTGGAATCGAACCGGGGACCCTTCAGTCCCCAAGCCAACGCTCTATCCACTGAGCCAAACCAGTTTCGGCTAGGGTGATTTTTGAACTGGAGTACTTTAAACTGGAGTACTTTAAAGTCACTGGCCATTACATACTAGTATTTCTTAATACTAACTGATTGGCATTGCTCTATGTATTGTTCACAAGCCAGAATTTAGCTTTATTTTAAAAGTCTATGATCCATAGTCATATCAAGAAATAAATGAGTTCTCTTTTTCTGCACCATTGTCTCATCTTACCACAACTATCTCCAAGAGGACATCAGAACTTCGGCAAATGTCCCCATTTTCCTAATCAATTGTGGGCCTGTTTGTTTAGAAGTCTGAAGAGCCTTTGGGTACGTTACTTAATGTCTTGAATAGAAATAGAAAGGACTGGGTAATGCCCTCGTTTAATAGCATATTTTCCTAAAGAGGCTAGAACTTCCTAGATATGCAGAACAAGCCAGGCTGCCCTCAGACAGTTATATGAGGCCATCTTGCAAGCCCAATAACCTTCTTAAAGATTATTGGAGAGCAAAGAAATGCACAGACTTCTGGGATGCATTTTTGGTGTCTTCATAGCTAAGATAAGCAAATATTTACTAAGTGTTTCCAATAAGCCAGGTGTTTTTTTTTCCACAAAATTATATTGAGATTTAATTGGCAAATATAAGATTATATTAGTTTCAGGTGTACAACATAATTATTCAATATATATGTATTGAGAAATGATTTTCACAGTAAGTCTAGTTAGCATCATCCCCACACATAATTACAATTAGTTTTATGGTGACAACTTTTAAGATCTACTCTCTCAAACTTTCATATATGCAATACTGTATTATTATCTATAGTTACCATGCTATATATTACATTCCATGACTAATTTATTTTATAATTAAAAGTTTTTAGCCTTTGACTGCTTTCACCTATTTTGCCCATACATAACCCCCAATCCTGGCAATCACTAATCTGTTTTCTGTACCTATGAATTAAATATTTACTGGGTAGAGTTTTTGTTTTTTTAGGGGGGAAGGTTGGTTTATTTTTACATTCCACAGATGGTATTTGTCTTTCTCTGCCTGGTTTATTTTACTAATAGCATAATGCCCTCAAGGTCCATCCATGTTTTTGCAAATGGCAAGATTTCCTTCTTTTATGAGAGAATAGTATTCCATTTTTCATATACCATTATTTTCTTTATCCATTCATCCATTGATAGACACTTAGGAAACTTCCATGTTCACAATATGATTATGTCATATTAAATCTCATTTGTTATCCCATTTTACAGATGGTGATGATCAAGATACCTAAGATCTGTGACAAATATCTGAGCTATAGTAGTAAATCCAGAGCATAGGAACAGAATATTAAAGAGATATTTAAAAAAAAAGATTTAAGATGATGCAAGTGAGTGAGGTTTGTTCTAGTAGACAAGATGTTTGTAAGGCTTCTTTCAAAAGAAAAAATTTCCATCTCCTCAATGCTCATATTCAAACTGTTTCACAGAATATACAATTCTAAGGTGCCTGAGTATTTTTCCCGTGAAGACAAAGCTCAGATTAGCATAATTTGTGCGTTAAAAGTAGCTTCAAAGCTGCTCAGATCAAAAGGATTTTCTGGACCAGAGACTGAAACTATAGGATTTGTCCCTAACAGCAGTTATTCATGAGGTCAGAATGGCTCCTCAGTTGCATTGATTACTTGGAGAGCTAGGATAGATGCTGAGTGTTTTCACATGCTGTGAAGAGAATAAAGAAGCGGTTTCATCATCAAGACTTTCCCTACAAAAAACAAGTCAGATTTTTTATCCACTTCTCTGAGTTCCTAAAATGAGTCATTTGAAAAGGCAGAGTTAGCACTAACATTCTCCTCAAAATAATATTCTGAATAACTGAAGACTTTCTATCTATACAATACAATTACTTTTTGCCAACCTAAACACATGATATGAAATAAGAAGAGAGTGTGCTTATCTTTCCATTGTTCCTCCATAAGGTATTCTGGTCAGGTCAAACTTCTGACCGCAACAGCTTTCCTTTAGAGAGTGAAGAGCTTTTAGAAGAATGTCCCGCTAAAACCACCCACCTGTAAAACTTAGAGCACAACCAGAGAACGGCTTTCTTGGATGGAAAACAGGTTGGTTCCTGCGAGTGTTGGGGGTTAGAACCTGGCTGAGAAATGTTCAAAAGGAAACATGAGATGAGAAAGTAGGGACACTGAAGCCAGACAATCATATTAGGAGTTTTGCCATAAAGTGGAACAGGGTAAACAGATCAGAACCTGGGAGGGTTTATAGCATCCCGAGCAAAGGTTGATTTGTTTCTAAGATCAGAGATCGATGTAGAGGGGTTTTACAGAGCTAAGGAGAGTCTTTGTGGGTTTTAAGCTTTGCCTTTTAGTCCCCAACCCACGCTTCTATTCTCTGCATTTTAAAATTTGGGGACTGAGACTCTGCAGACCATAATTTTCCATTTCTGACAGCTCTTTGTGTTCAATTCTGCCTTTAGGGGTCTCTAGAATGAGTCTGGAAGAGTGGAGGAGAAGAACGGGTTCATACTCCTTTCTATTTCCTACTCTTTCCATCAGCTCCTCCCCATCAATGCTTCCTTATTATGGCACTAATGGCTGCCAATAGCAGTAATTGGTTTGAATGTGTATGTTTTCCTTTCACTCCTAAAATCAGCATCATTGCACCCCTCATCAATATCAGGACCATGCATGTGGCACTCCCTCTTCTGTGATCTGAGTCCTGGCTCTGTTGGGCACCAGGATGGGCACCACCTGACCAGGAACCTCTTGGGAATTCTCTGTGAGGGCCTTTTCCTTCAAGCTTCTAAGTTCTAAAACCCTAGTCTATTGCCTTTGTTCCCCTACCCCAGGGGGCTATGGCTGTTCCCTGGAGCCTCAGTGTTCCATGTTGGGCTTTTCTACATTTCAATAATATTTAACAGCTTTCCGCCAGGACCGGTTTGGCTCAATGGATAGAGCGTCGGCTTGGGGACTGAAGGGCCCCGGGTTTGATTCCGGTCAAGGGCATGTACCTTGGTTGCGGGCATATCCCCAGTAGGGAGTGTGCAAGAGGCAGCTGATCGATGACTCTCATTGATGTTTCTAACTCTATCTCTCTCCCTTCCTCTCTGTACAAAAATCAATAAAATATATATTTTTTAAAATATTTAACAGCTTTCATAAAGTAAATTATCTCTATCAAAATAACTTAGTGGTTCAAGTTTTCTTGACTGAACTCTGACACAGTCAGAGACAAGATTTAGTCAGGATGCACAGAGGTCAAAGCTCACACCCTCCTAGCTATACTAAGCTGCCTGTCCCCACTTTAATATTTAAAAAATATTTTAACAGAAATACAAGTGAGGATATACTCTCCATAAAACTAAGTTTTTCTAACATATTGATTGAAATATTCAAGACCTTCTTCCTGCCTCTGTTTCTCCATCCTCTTCCTAACCACCACTTGATCTTTTTTCATGTCCCAATCTTATATTTTTATAGTTCCTCCTAGTGCTTGCTTTTTGAGTCATACTATTCTTTCTCTTCCCATTGTTCTTTGCAATTCATATTCCTGATTTCATAACCCATGTTCTCTGGTTGGCCTATGGGTAGAGAATGATATTCTAACAACTTTTGGAAG